GAGGATACTTTGAAGATTATTTACTTCTTGTTGGTAATTTCGCTCTTTATATAGCTTTAGTTTTTCACTTGATAATTAAAAATTCGTTTCCCTATCACTTTTTACGTATCTGCGCATCGGTTAGAGACGAGTTTGAGAATCATGTTGGATATCAACTTTATAACTATGAATTTCTCCAAGGTTGGAGAAATATTTTTTGGTGTTTATTGCATAATAAATTCACTCGACTACTACGTTGCAATAGTTCGGTTTGTTTACAAATTATTAATTATTAATAGTGACTCGCCAGCAACTCTTCAGTAACTTAATTTTTAAGAACTCGCTCTCATAGAGAAAATATCCAAAAAAGTACGCGAACTCAAATACAGTAATAATTTTCAAGTTTCATGAACAGCCGATAAATTGGTTGTTTATTCGCAGCAAATTCCTAATAAAACAATATCTGTATACATATTACGCGAAGGGACTTTTTGTCCAGGTCATCAGATCTGCACCGTTCGTTCGAGAGTTCTCATGTACTTAAAAATTTTAATTCAACTTAATTCAACTTGAAATATGTATAACAATGCTAGGAGATAAAAACATCTGAGCTAACGGAACTTTTTGGATCCGTTTAAATTTTTTGGTCAAAGTCACTGCTCTTTTTTGTACAATTAAATAAAATTATAGTTTAAAAAACTAAAACCTCCCTATTATAATTAGCTCTGATCCAGTACTCCATGAACTTACAGGATTTTACACGAACTTGCAGGAAGTTGCAGGAAAAATGTTCCCGTACTCCAAAATCCTGTAAATGAGAGCGACTTTTGGAGAGTTGTGTAGAGAATGAAGTTGCAAGATTTTACCCGAACTTTTTCTTCTGGTAATAGCTCTGATCCAATACTTCTCGTGAAAAATCCTGTAAAACTATCAAACAAAAAGTTACTCTCTGAAGTGAGAGTAAAAAGTGAGTAACAACAAAAAGTACGGGAACAAAAAATTCATTTTTCCTGTAAAAACGTCAATCAGTGATTGCTTGACACTTTTCAGGATTTTACCAGAAGAAAAAGTTCGGGTTAAATCTTGCAACTTCATTCTCTACACAACTCTCCAAAAGTCGCTCTCAATTACAGGATTTTGGGGAATTTTGGAGTACGGGAACATTTTTCCTGCAACTTCCGGCAAGTTCGTGTAAAATCCTGTAAGTTCATGGAGTACTGGATCAGAGCTAAANAAAATCATGAAAAGTGTCAAGCGATCACTGGTTGACGTTTTTACAGGAAAAATGGTTTTTTGTTCCCGTACTTTTTGCTGTTACTCACTTTTTACTCTCACTTCAGAGAGTAATATTGCGGTTTGACAATTTTACAGGATTTTTCACGAAAAGTATTGGTTCTCTGGTAAAAACTGGAATGACGGAAGTGGAAAAATTTCGATGCATCGCAGCAAAAAATCGATATTTTCGATGCTTCGATGTATTTCCGAACTTCCTACTTTGCCTTCAAAAATCAGCTGTCAGCTGTTGTCAACGCTCATGCGTGTAGCCAAATTCTTTTGCCCCGGTGGTTTTTACGAGGATGCTTTCTTGCCCCCGGAGATGTTTGAAACTTATCAATTTGCAACTACGATATGGTGCACCGACGTGTAGGCGCCACATTCAAAATAGGCACAGTGATTACCCATCTGTGGAAGTTAAATTCACAAACGGGTAAGCCAACTTTAAATAATTGCCGCATCACTTTTCAAACCTTCATTTAAAAAAACTTCCACCTACAGTCGCCCCATGACTATAAGCTCTGGCAAATTGGCACGCTTTGCCAATGGCACTGGTGTTTGCCAAATGGGGGACACAGCAGTATTGGTGACTGCGGTGTCTAAACCAAAACAGGCACCCGGCGCAAGTTTCATGCCACTCGTAGTAGACTATCGCTTGAAAAGCGCGGCTTCGGGACGAATACCAATGAATTTCTTGCGTCGTGAATTGGGTCCATCAGAGAAGGAAATTCTTTCGGCACGTCTTATCGATCGCTCTGTCCGCCCCCTTTTTCCATCAGATTTTCGCACGGAGACCCAGCTAGTGTGCAATATACTATCTATGGATGCTGTATACTCTCCGGATGTATTAGCTATAAATTCAGCGTCAGTAGCAATAAGTTTGAGCGACATACCCTGGAATGGACCTATTGGTGCAGTGCGGTAAGTAATTCAAATTCAAAGTAGTTTGAAGTAGTACTTATAGTTATAATCACTTAGCGTGGGTCTCTGCGACGGTGAAATAGTAATCAACCCCACAAGGCGAGAGTTGCAGACTTCACAACTGGATTTGGTAGTGTCAGCGACGAAACAAAATCTAGTGGTCATGCTCGAAGGCAAAGGTAATGTGGTGCTAATGCAAGACTTGCTCAAGGCAATCAAACAGGGCACACGTGAAGCGCAGTTCATTATCAGTGAAATTGAACGTCTTCAAAAAGCATATGGGCGAAGTAAACGAGCCGTTGAAGTACCGCTAGCGGTCGATACAGAAATTTCTGAGGCTGTAAAGAGCATGAGTGAAATGCGGCTTCGTGAAATTTTTCAAGATGCTACTCATGACAAAATATCTCGTGACAATGCAGTAAATGATGTGCGATCAAATGTCATCGACAAAGTATGGTCATCGTATCCAGATACAGAGCCATCCTTAATAGGCGATGAATTCAATAAAGTGTGCAAAAGCATATTCAGAAGTTTGATATTTGAGGAAAATAAGCGGTGTGATGGACGCGACTACGATAGCCTTAGAAATATTAATTGTCAGGTTGGTATAACATGATTAGCTGTAAGAAACAATAAATTTCTATTGTTAATATTACACAGGTTGACCTTTACAAGCCCTTACATGGTTCGGCGCTTTTCCAACGTGGGCAGACGCAGGTATTTTGTACAGTTTCCTTGGATTCGCACGAAAGCGCTATGAAATTAGACGCTATCACAGCGTTAGAAAGGTATAAGAGCAAGAATTTAAAATTGAACTGTACTAAAATTTAATACATACTTTCTTAAAGTGGCCTCAAAGCAAAGAATTTTATGCTGCACTACGAGTTCCCGCCATACGCCACAGGTGAAATTGGTCGCATTGGTCCGATCGGACGTCGCGAGCTCGGTCACGGCTCGTTAGCAGAGCGCGCGCTAGTACCTACGCTGCCACATGATTATCCCTTCACAGTGCGGCTCACATCTGAGGTGCTCGAGTCGAATGGGTCAAGTTCGATGGCATCAGTGTGCGGTGGTTCTATGGCGCTGATGGATGCTGGCGTTCCTGTAATTGCGCCAGCTGCTGGGGTCGCTATTGGGCTAGTTACAAAATATGAAAATAACGACACGAAGCACCTATCCGAATACCGCATCTTGACTGACATTTTGGGTATAGAAGACTACATGGGGGACATGGATATGAAAGTTGCAGGCACACGCAAGGGATTCACAGCTATACAAGCAGACTTAAAAGTGCCCGGCATACCGCTGAAAGTAGTTATGGAATCACTTCAAAAGGCAGCCGATGCAAAGGGCCGTATATTGGATATTATGGGTGAAGTAATCAGGGAGCATCGGTAAGTTTGACGCGCCCGTAGTTGCTTTCTACTTAAAATCCAACAAAAACCAATTATAGCAAGTATCCAAAGGAATGTTGGCCTGTGACTGAACGCATAACCATCGAACCACATCAGCGGGGTCAGCTAATTGGTCCTGGTGGCATGCACCTCAAACGTATCTACCTCGAGACAGGCGCATCACTTTCGCCAGACGATGAATCGACATATACAATATTCGCACCCTCACAAGCGGCCATGGACGAGGCAAGGAGCACATAGATGCTTTGCTTACAAAAGAACGCATACCTGATTTGGAATTCGGGGGGATATATACAGCAGAAAATAACAGAAATACGCGATACTGGCGTAATGGTGATACTGTATCCGAGCATGCCACCAGCACTGCTACACAACTCCAATTGGATCAAAGAAAGGTAAATGTGTAACTTACGAAAATACCAAGTATCTACACATTAGTTGAATATTATTTGCCTTCGCAGATTGCGCATCCATCAGCATTGGGTTTGGAGATGGGCCAAGAAATACAAGTTAAGTACTTCGGACGTGATCCTGTGTCCGGCTTTATGCGTTTGTCGCGCAAAGTGTTGCAAGGTCCCACTACAAACATACCACGCAGTCACACTAAGACGGCGGAGGAAACGTAGTGAAACACCAAATGTTATCCTATTTACTAATGCTTTTAGATTTTGTAATATTGGAACTATTTGTCCAAAAAGGCTGCAAATTGAACAAGTCATGCATTAGTTGTAAATCTCTAGAAATTGAAGGCTTTATTAAAATCTTTAATGGAAATATACATATATGACACAGCTGAGAGAAATAAGGGTGTGAAGCTTAAAAATAATTAAATAAGAATAGAATAGATAAATACAAAAAATTAAGTCGTATGTTTGTAAAAATACATTTTGTTGGGTAATTGACTAAGTTCACTTAATTCGATAAAAATTATGTGAAATAAATGCTTTATCAAAAATTTTAGAGATTTTGTACAAAATTTTATTAGAGATTGAAACAAGTTAGGTTGGTTCTGTATGCTACTNTTAATTCGATAAAAATTATGTGAAATAAATGCTTTATCAAAAATTTTAGATATTTTGTACAAAATTTTATTAGAGATTGAAACAAGTTAGGTTGGTTCTGTATGCTACGTAATATTCAAGATTTTTTCTAATAAAATAAATAAGTGGCCAATTTTTCTTGAATGAAGATGTAAAAGACGGTATGCCGGGGCTGTTGTGAGTGATGATCATATGATTACACGATAGTATGAGTCCGAAATGGTATACAAGGCAACTATGGATGCTTTGTCGCCGGTTAGGTAATCGATGATCTCATCGGTTATTTCGGTTATATACCGTTTGAACTTAGGAAACCTAAGAACGCGAAATAATTTGAAAAGAAATTAAATGGTGTAAATGCANGTAATATTCAAGATTTTTTCTAATAAAATAAATAAGTGGCCAATTTTTCTTGAATGAAGATGTAAAAGACGGTATGCCGGGGCTGTTGTGAGTGATGATCATATGATTACACGATAGTATGAGTCCGAAATGGTATACAAGGCAACTATGGATGCTTTGTCGCCGGTTAGGTAATCGATGATCTCATCGGTTATTTCGGTTATATACCGTTTGAACTTAGGAAACCTAAGAACGCGAAATAATTTGAAATGAAATTAAATCGTGTAAATGCTAATTGAGTGTTACCTTTCTATCACATTGTTGATTTCAACTTCAGTCTCCTTTTTATCTGCTTCGCGCGGATTTATTGCACCCACGATAGCATTGACCGTCACTGGTGGCAACTCCACTACCAGCACAAGCACACTTTCCTTTTTCGAGAACTGTGACAGCGTCATAGACATCTGCTGCGTAACCTGTGAATGAAATCTTGATAATAATAAATGTATTGTATGTACGTGGTGCTCGTACCTGATTTTCATAGCGCCTCTTCAAGTTGGCCGTTAACTTGTCATGCACCACAAACACCACCTGCACGTTAGGCCATTGGCTGGGGTTATAACCGCTTTTTATGCCTGCGCTTGACGCAGATGTCATCAGGCCATCGCCGCGTCCAAAATTACTACCGCCACTATAGGACGTATTGCCTCCGGCGCTATTATTCGATATCTGACTCACATAGTCAATGGCATGGGTATAGTGCACTTCGGGTCGCAATTTACGTATGAAGTCGATAAGTTCGGCTCGCGTCACATGCCGTTCCTGAAAGCGATCCCGTTCCCACGAACATATGCGCAGCGCGCCATTTTCCGCCACAAGAATTACATGCAATGCGCCCAACTTGGCCAAATCTTGGGCTTCATCGCCTGCACCGGTAGCCGACTCTACTATGCAGCAGCGGATGTTTGCTGACCACAGTAAACGCATTATATCGGTGACATATTTTAACGGCGGGCGGGTGCCGTTCACGCACACACCTACATCTATGGCACGACAATCTTTGACGTAGTCGACATCCATGGCAGCGACCAATTTGTCGAGCGAAAAGGATAGTCCAGCGCCGCTAATGACACGACCTGGTATGTTTTGATTGAATCCTTGCGCCTGCTTCTGGAACTCATTCAACATTGTGTCGTAACGCTCACCCATTGCCAGCACCGAGGAGTTAGTGCTGCGATTGGGTTTAAGATCAGCGATCAATTGCCACACAACTCCACCACCGCTGGCGCGATCGAAGCTGATGGGCAAACCAGCGAAAATGTGTATCGGACACTGGAAAAAGCAAACNTTAGTGCTGCGATTGGGTTTAAGATCAGCGATCAATTGCCACACAACTCCCCCACCGCTGGCGCGATCGAAGCTGATGGGCAAACCAGCGAAAATGTGTATCGGACACTGGAAAAAGCAAATAATATTACTTGAAAAGCACAAATAATTGCTTTGAGGCACTCACTGTAACGCCCAGACTCTGTGCCAAGCTTACAATTGCTTCCAACTCCCGCAGCGCGCTCTTAGCCAGTGAAGCCGCTTCACCTTTACCACGTACGAGCGATTTCAACGACGAATCGTCGACATTGCTTCTGGTGCCACTCATCAAAAAATTTGCCAGCAATAAGTCAATTAGCGCCGAAGCGGAGGAACGTGACTTCTCCATGATCACAGTCACGCTTGAGTGGAATTGAAATTTAGATATACGGCCTTCTATGAAATCAGCTATGTTCGCAAACAAATCGGTGTACGAAGACTTAGGTACATTACAGTAGATCAGTATGGCGCGAAGCAGATGTGTATGATTCATGCGTATGCGCATGTTTTTTTCGCGCAATCGCGGTATTTCATTGGTGATTTCATAGGCAAGCGATAGCAATTCGGCATCAACCAGCGGGCTACTGGCATACGGTGTTATTATGTCGAAAGCACATTCGTAGCTCTGTTTGGGATGGAAATTGAAGACCTTCTCCTCGCGGTAGACTCGATCTACACAGTAGCGGCGTATCATATTCACTCCATTCATGGTTATGTGACGTGCGAACTCAGTGCGCAAATCGCTGGGCAGCACCACTACACAGCCGGAGTGTGTCATGAGTCGCACAGGATTGTTCCAGGGATTCGTATGTTTAGAAAGCGGCGACAGCAGTGGTGTGTCCACTTCGATTGCACCATGTTTGCGAAACAGTGCCACAACTTTTGCTTTGACAAATTCAAAAATTGGATTCAATGAAACTAAACCATCTAATGAGATTGGCGAATTCCATGATTTCATATTGCGACTACTACCCAAATGGTAGGTATATTCAAGAAGTTCATCACTCTGCTGCTGCAGACAACGGGCTACCAAATGTTTGTAAGCTTTGCTTTGGGGATTTGCAAGCGCATGTCTCAACATCTCTTGAAGTTCATTCGCTTCAAGCTGCGCGGGCGGCACCAGGTCTGAGGATAGCAATTCCTCGGCGGTGGGGCGTTGCGCCGGATCGTGATTTAGAAGACAGCGTAAAATCTTAAAATAAAAAAGTTAATACATACTTCAAAATCATCGTTTATATAAAATTAACTTGCCTTCACAGTTTTTTCATAACGATTATCGCTTAGCATGGCGTCGGGTATCACAATGGCGGTGGTGCGTAGCGCGACTATTGTTTGTACACGCTCCATGCCCGTTTGGAACGGTGGTTGTGACATTTCAAAAAGTATAATACCCAAGGTGTACATGTCAACTTTTTGACTGTACGTAGATTTAGAAGCATTACCAGTTAATTCAGGCGCTACATACAGCGTTGTGCCTACTTTACCAGTGCCTGTACCATCTTCTATAGAAGCAACTTGAATGGAGTATTGATGAGAAGCTTGTTCTTCTAAAATTAAGTACTTCTTAAAATCCTTTTTAAAAATAACTATTTGAATATTATTAACGTACGTTGGCTTTGCAGCGCTAAGAAACTGGTTGTTGCAAGCCCAAAATCTCCAATTTTTATCTGATCATGTGAGTCCAAAAATATATTTACCGGCTTCAAGTCGCGATGTATAATACCTTGTTGATGGATGTGAGATAAACCCTCAGCGATTTCCCGAAATAAACGCCAAAGACGCTCAGTATCCTCATATAAATTATCATCAATGGCAGTTCTGCAAAAAGGAAATGCGACAATGCATTTTTATATGCTTTCGTTTAATTTATTTTCTAACCTCAGTGTGCACTTCTCACAGAACTCCATTTGAATATACATAACTTGCATAGGTTTAGGCGAAAATGTTTTGGAGACTTGCCTAGATGGCTCATCTTCTTCGTCGTCATCATCATCATCGTAATTGACAATTTCGCCATTGGAGTCAACAAACTCAATACCATCGGAGTCAGAATCATCTGCAGTTGGTCTAAAGAACGAAAGTGTGGATAAACACGTATGCATATATGATATGGAAGTGCATAATGACTTACACACAGCCACTCCATATGCTGGACGAGCTGTCTTCATCATCTTTTATGGGTAAACCAAGTTGGGGTGACGGTGGCGGCTTAAAGCTGATTTCGTTGCTGGCTGACACTTCATCCCCTAACAATTTTTCCTGAAATTATATGTAATGTATTATAATCACAGCTTTTTACAATTTTCCAACCATTTCTTCTTCATCCGCTTCGGTTACACTTTCTATCCAACTGTTGAAATATCGTACAACATTTTCGTGATTCAAACGAGATAGCAATTCGACTTCTCGGGTCATTTTCTTATAGAGTTGACGACTACGAGCTGGCAGTGGAATACGCTTTAAAGCATACTGACGGTTATCTAATATATTACGTACCTAAAACAATTATATTTATTTATTTGGAGAATCATTCCTAAAAAATCGTTGCAGTTTTATACTCACTTTCAACACATCTCCAAATGCACCTTTTCCTAAATAGGTTATCACCTCAAATTCATTCCGCAACCTAGACTGGCTCATAGGCATTAAAGGTATGACAGACAAGGCAACCGGCAGATGCTTCGGTTGGCGATCTAGTCGTTCTCGCGTCGGTTTTGTACTTTTTATTGGGACACCAGGTGTACCGCCGGAAGTTCGACGCTGGGTTTGTTGTGTTATAGCGAGTGCAAGAGCTTTATCGTCCTGTCCGAGCAAAGATGAATGCAAGAATGGATGATCGAGAAGTTCAGAAGCAGAGAGCGTGCGGTCAGAATTGCACCTAAATAAAAGTAAGTTAAATTATGAGCTGCATTTTGAGTGGCATTCAATTTACTTGTCGATAAAATCTCGCATCTCATATGTATGGGATGGCATGAGACTTTCGATGAGCGCTCCCAAAGCTGGTAAATCGCCATGCATTGAACGCTGTCCTACACCGCCAACTAATTCAAGCAAATTGGGTACAAGCGAAAAGTCTGTGCAGCGCAAAGTTCCTGTATTGTCCATAAATATTGTGCTATCCATAAGGTGGCTGTGTGATACGCCCTTATTGTGCAGAAAAACCAGCGCGTCAAGTACACCGCGTGCTACCATTCGTACTCCTTCTAAACACCAACCCAGACTGGAAGATATATTCAACACGCTGGTGCCTAGCAAAAAATCTTGCACGAGATAAACAATTAGTCCCTCTTTTCGTTTGATACATAACACACATTCGTATTGTATAAGATTTTTATGATGTAACTGCGAGAGCGTAGCTACTTGCTTTTCGATAGAGGATATAACGTCATCCACGCGATGGTTTCCATTACATTTTGGCTCTGTGGCCAGCCAGGAACAGTGTCCACCATTTCCACATTTTTGTTCTAATTGCGTATACTTTATGGTCCATTCGGTTAAATATAGTAGTTGCCCAGTGTCCAAATCAATGCCAGTATATGCGACACAGCCTTTTTGTGAGTGTCCTTCACGCGTACATATGAAATGATTTACAAAATGTTATTGTGCTTTTTTAATCGCTTTTTTATTTTTTCTTACCTAAACAACAACCTCTTTGTACTTGGCGTCCAACTCTATGGAAATATAGTTTTTCACTATTGCGATGCTTTAAGCATTTGTTGGGATAACAGTGTCCACGATAGTATGGCGACGAATTCTCGGAACTTTCCGATGAGCTGGCATGGTAATTTGATTCGCTCATACTACGACGTGCTTCACCTCGACGTTTGGCTTCGCTCTTAAACATTTCTTTGCGGCGCTCAACCTCTTCGAACAATGTTTGCCTCTCTATTTTTTCTTTGCGCTTCTGCATGTCGATACGTTCTTTTTCACGTTTTTGATTTTCTTGTAACATTTCATCATAAAAGGAACCTCGTGGCGGCTTATTGTGTTTTGATAGAAATGATTGCACGGTTTGCGCCAGCTCATAAATCATAACTTCGCCCCGTAACTCTTCAGATTGCTGTTGTAGCTGCTGCAGCAACTCCACCACAAGCTGATCGGAGAGACCTTTTGAATCTTCCAACAATATTTTAGGTGCGCTGCAGAAAACTAATTTTGTTAGAAGCAGTTTAAAATCCTAAATAAGTATTTAGATAGGTTATAAAAAAGATAAGCACTGCGACTTAGTGGATCTATGTATGAAGAGAGCATAGCTCTACTCATCTGTCCACAGAGTTTTTGGAGGTAAGGAGCGTTTGTGATCATCCTTTGGCCATTTTGATGATATACTATTCTCTCGTTGCCTTGACACAACGACAGAGAAAATCTTGCAGTGCCCCGTAAGGATACCTGTAATAATCATCAGTTTACCCGAATTATTTACTTACACTTTTGGGTATTTTGACGGGCAGATAATGTGCAGCTTTGTGCGCGCATACGCCTCTGTATGTTCATTAGAAGAGTCGCGCAATGGCGTCAACGATATGCGGATTTCAGTTGGTTTCCATTGCGCAGCTGGCGTATCTGTGTCACAGCTGGGACGTAATACCTCAACATCGTTGCCGAAAATCGCCTACAAAATTAGTGGTATCATTTAATGTGGGCAAATATTATAGATTTTTGCACTTTTTTCATACCTTTATCACTTCTAATTCATGAATTTGACGTTCACGAAATGATTCCTTCACTGCCGGCGTCGCCATAACTTGCCGGTTGTATTTGTATATTCAACAAGACTCTTGATAGGAAAATTGCAGCACTTCTGCTTCACTATCGGTTAATAAAGTTTTAAACGATTTTCTCCTTTTGTACATCACTTGTCTTAATTTATCTTTTATAATATAATGAACGTGTTTTATCCAATCTCTGTTTCATACATATGTTTCGCACAATTATGGTTTTTTCAACTTTTTCACGTTTTTAACCCCTAGCAAAAACGAAGATGGAACAACAATGATTTTTGTTTGGATCTTTGGATTGCGAAATAATATCGCTGCTAGCTCATCCCCAGTTTCTGAAAGGAGGTTTTGTGCTTTTGTTTTGCTTACTGTCCGCACCAATCAGTTGCTGATTTTGGGCAGTGTGACCAGAGACTTGAAAAGCGAGTTTGTTTTAAAAAAGTTAAAAGTCAGTATATTCATCTGACGTGTGCGCTATACTCGCTGAAACCGTATTCAAAAGTAAACAAAATTTGCTGTTTTCTTTCAATATTTCTTTAATAATTAATTTGCGCTATTGACCGAAATGGAATCGAAAGATAATTTAAACTTATTATAAATAAATAATTCAAATTTAAAACGGGCTGTATAAACAAAACCAGCCTTTTTTCACTTCGCGTCAAATGAGTGATGTGTTTATACCTGCTGTCTAACCGATGTGAGAAATAAAACACGGATTTGAAAACAAAACCGAGTCAATACTTTTTTGAATTTCTAAGCGCATTGAAACTTGGTTTATGATCCGTTTTGAATCACAGCGAACTGGATGAGAGCGCTTTATGTGTTGGTCTTCCAAAGCGTACCATGTGAAAAAAAAATAAATTAAATAAAATATTGACATTGGGAAAAAATAAAAATTGTTGCAGCTTTCATTCTTAGTAAATTTGCTTGCTTCTTGAAGCATTCATCCATACTTTGCAAGGCCCAATAATCAGCCATTGGCTGCTGAGTTGGGCGAACGTTCCAAAAAGAATAAATTTGAAATATTTGACATTTTTGAGAGCAAATAATTTGAAACGAAATCAAATCAGCTGCTCTATTGATACTCCCTATTCAATATGCCTTGGATTGAAATAAAAAGCTGTCAAATGTTTATTTTAAAGGTAGCTGTGTCTTTCGTTCAAGGAAACTAGCAGCTCTCTCTCGTTCTTACGCACCTATTTTTTTTGGCTCTCCTGCTAATTTCTGCTAGTAAAAGGTTTACGACTAGCAGCTGTGAAAATGGATAAACGAAAAATCGCGCCAAATATTTTCAATATTCAAATACATCGATCTGCTGTTTATTATCTAGTTTCTGCTAGTTTTGCGTTTCTTTACTATTTCTTTATTTCGCTCTCTGTGAGCGTAATTCCCTCAATTTTCCCATTCTTCTTCTTCCTGATAATTATCTGCTAGAAAAGAAAACAAACAAAGCCATGGATATTGTCATTTCTTGGCACACTATCTACATTGTGAAAGGAAGGATCTATTTTTACCTGGCAGGCCCCAACCCCAGCGCACAACCTATTGTTGGGAGATTTAACCTTAAACCGAATAAACCACTAGTAAAAGCGTGTCTTTAAAATTTTCTTTTTAAATTACTTGTTTTAAATTTTATTAAAAACAAGTAATTTTTAGCAAAAAAAACTGACTTAAAAAAATATATACATATATATTTCATGATCCAATGATCGGATCTAAACCAGATCAGTATGGG